TAGCTTGTAGGGGACAAACACATCTTACTGTGGACATTCATTGCTTACTGTAAACAAACACAACTTACTGTTGAAAAAACACAACTTACAATGGACATACATAGCTTGCAGGGGACATACATAGCTTACTGTGAACATTCATTGGTCACAGTGAACAAACACAACATAATGTTGAAAAAACACAACTTACAATGAACATACATAGCTTGCATGGGAGTTACATAGCTTACTGTGGACATTCATTGCTTACTGTAAACAAACACAACTTACTGTTGAAAAAACACAACTTACAATGGACATACATAGCTTGCAGGGGACATACATAGCTTACTGTGGACATTCATTGGTCACAGTGAACAAACACAACTTATTGTTGAAAAAACACAACTTACAATGGACATACATAGCTTACTGTGGACATATACTCAACAGCAAAAAAACGTCAGTACGAATTCAAAATTAGATAGGCCCTGTAATCAAATCATTACAGAAATGGACATAATAAGCGGATCGAGAGACCATATACATATGGTCTCTGGCGGATCAAAACCTTTTTTTGTGTACAATATCCTGACACATCAATGAATAACTCAGCACAATTCCAAGACATTACGTGAACGTTTGCAGTCCATTCAGGCTCTTAACTTCAGTATGTAGTGTGCATGGAGTGCACCAATCGATTGATGAAGGCCATTGGCACCTTGAACCACATTCTGAGAAAGGCCTGGCGCAATAAATCGGCTGTGTTCGGCCTTGGTATGACATTATTCTGTCTCCTCTGAATTTTATCCCAAAGATGTTCAGTTGGGTTTAAATCATGACTAAGGGCTGGCCACTGCATAATGTTGACACCGTTCTGCTGTAGGAAGTCCCGTGTAGCTCTTGCAGTATGGGCCCGGGCGTTATTATCCTGGAAAATGTTGATCCGGTGACGTGCGAAATGTGGTATGACGTGGGGTCTGAGAGCTTGGTCGATGTAGCGCACCGCTGTGATGCCGCCTCCTCTCCCTGGACCAAGGTTCTGGAACACCATAGGACCCACTCTCTGGTTCAGGCCTATTCCACCCCATACCATGATGCTTGCACCTGCCCATGAGTCTCTTTCCATAACACATTGGTCTGAGTAACGCTGGCCACGTCGTAACCATATTCTTGTTCTGCCATCTGCAGTTGATACGCAGTACCGACACTCATCTGTGAACAGAACAGTTCTCCATTGCCTGTATCGCCAGTTTTGGTGTTGTAGGGCAAACTGTAGACGTTCACGCCGATGATGAGGGGTGAGGATAGGTCCACGGTAAGGTCTACGGCAATGGAGGTTCCCGCTGTCAAGACGTCGGCGTACTGTATCAGTACTGATTGGTCTTCCGTGTGTTCCCACTGTCTGGCGTGCTGTTGCGGTTACCTGCATGAAGGGATTCTGTACATGCTGTCGCACAACATGGCGTTTTTTTGTCGTCTTGTGGGCACCCTTGGTCTGCCAGTACGGGGGCGATCATTTGAGGTGTTGGTGGCCCGGAAACGGTGCTGCAGCTTGTAGATGGTCCGAACGTTGACGTGGAAGTGATTGGCAACGGCTTGGGCAGTGTGGCCAGCTTCAAGTCTTCCTAGCGCCTGGTTCCTTTCAGCTGTCGTGAGTCGCGGCATCCTGCTGACGTTGTAATGTGAATGTTTCAACCAGGTTTGGGAGTGCATTTTATAGGGCTGGTCCTTGTGAACAGCACGTGCAGCATGAGTTGCATCAAAAACATGGAGAACACCGTACCATCTCCGAGCTCAGGTTGCGTTTTTGAGACCATTTGCTGGATTCAATTCTGAGTTTGGGAAAGAATGTCTTTGCTCAGGTAAAGTTGGAGATGTTGTCTAAAATATACAATCAAAACATTAATTAAGTTTACAGTTATTCGTTTCTGAGAGGGAAAATTCCAAAATGACGTTTCTTTTGCTGCTGAGTGGTATACATAGGGACATACATAGCTTACTGTGGACACTCATTGCTTACTGTGAACAAACACAACTTAATGTTGAAAAGACACAACTTACAATGGACATACATAGCTTGCAAGGGACATACATAGCTTACTGTGGACATACATAACGTACTGTGGACATACATAGCTTACTGTGGACATTCATTGCTTACTGTGAACAAACACAACTTAATGTTGAAAAAACACAACTTACAATGGACATACATAGCTTGCAGGGGACATACATAGCTTACTGTTGACATACATAGCTTACTGTGAACAAACACAACTTACTGTTGACCAGTCGTTTTATACAGCAATTCACATCCATACAAACTTGTTGTTAAGATCTTGCGCAGCCCCATCTTGACACTGGCGGAAGGATGCAGCTCGCGGGATTGCAACTGTTCATACCACGTGATCTATGTGACCTGATACTTTGTCTTGCTCTTTGGCAATATTTATCTACTCTTGCTTTACAAGATAGCTTGCTCGTAAGGAAAACGCCACCATACACAGTAGAGGTAGATTCTGGAATGTGGAGATGTCCAAGTCTTAGGTCATGAGAAACGTGTTTGAGGTTACTCTTGGAGAAGGTTACAACTGTACTTTTGGATGGATTGCATGTCAGGCGCCATTTTGAAGCATAGTCATGAACAACGTCAAGTAAGGATTGTAAGCCCCGTGGTGAAGTACTGACAAGCGTTGTGTCATCTGCTAGTAGGACACTTGGGACACTTAAGCCATACACTTGAATACCTCCAGTTTGTTTGTCTTAGCAAAGTTGTAAGATCGTTAATGAATACAGGAAAAACCAGATAACTCTGCCCTCTCCAACTCCTTGGTTCACATCATACAAATCTAAATGTTCACCACCATAAGAAACAAATGCTATACTATTTGTGCACCTCTGGTGTAGTAGGTGCCAAACATGACCTTGTATTCCTAAGCTATGCAGTTTGTAGAAGAGTCCATCATGCCATATTCTATCAAAGGCCTTTTCATTATCGAGTTAAGCTGCAAAAACCACTGAGTCTCTCTGTAAGTGATAATTTATGATTTCAATCAAATTAAAAACTGCCAGTACAGCCCCGTGTTCTTTTCTAAAACCACACTGCAGCATATCAGGTTACGTTTTGTTAAGTTTCGTCTCTATGCGTTGCAGAAGAAGGTTCTCGAACAGTGTACCAAGACATGACGTCAGTGTTATCCCGCGATATTTTGGGGGGTCTGATTTATCCATTTTCTCCTTTGTAGATTGGTATGACCATGCCGAGTCGATAGTCATAGGGCACATGCTTGTGTTGTATCTTACTGTTGAAGAGGATACAGATGCAGGGGATGAGAGAGTTCCCTCCGTAGACGATATGTTCGCAAAAGATGTATGGTGCATTCTTAGAAATAAAATGTTGCAAGAAATCCCTAAAGTTCACAAACTTCACAACTTTGATTCTCCTTTGAAATTTAGCCTTCGAATATTCCGCTAGAATCCATTGAAAGTTACTTCCACTGCAAAATTCACGGAAATATTGGAGAGCTATTTATTTTTAGCTCTAATCCACATGAGCCGATACACAATCTAGGTATGATGCAACAGATGAGGTATGTTACTTCTAACAAATATGTCTCGACCGCCATTTCGTCCTATGCGTTGATTTCAATACATGACACAATATTATGGGTTACCGCCCTGGTGAAATAATCGGGATGATCAATCTTTATTCAAATATATATGACTGACTGACTGAGTTTGGTTTTACGCCGCTTTTAGCAATATTCCAGCAACATCACGGCGGGGGACACCAGAAATGGGCTTCACACATTGTACCCATGTGGGAATTCGAACCCGGGTCTTCGGCGTGACGAGCCAAAGCTTGAACCACTTGGCTACCCCACCGCCCCCAAATATATATGATGATGGTGATCATTCATTCATACATTCGCACATTCATTTATTCATTAATAATTCATTCTTCTTCCGTTCGTCTACTCATTAATATATATATATATATATATATATATATATACACACACACACATATACATATATATTATATATAGATATGTATGTATATGTGTATGTGTGTGTGTGTGAGAGAGAGAGAGAGAGAGAGAGAGAGAGAGAGAGAGAGAGAGAGAGAAAGAGAGAGAGAGAGATGGTGTTACGGCGTACATGTTAGTGACACGAGATTGTCAGTTCCTGATCAGTTTCAATTCACGTCATACACAGAGCCAGTACACTGGGGTCACGTTGTCCTTTCTGTAAAAAGCATGCTAGGGTTGAGTCCGGGCTGCCCACAGATAACAGAAACATATAAAAACCACAGATTACATTGCTTGGCCTCTCACATCTGACTGGAAACGGTAAGGTCACTTGGAAACCTTTGCTGGACACTTGTCAATCCCCGTATCTATCTACTTACGAATGTTCTTTCAAACTTCTTCATATTCTTTCTTAATGGTCAGGAGTGGTTGTAGTTGCGTCTGCAGTGGCAGTTGTTGATGTTACTGTTTGGATTCTAACCTCAGAATAATTACACTGAGGGTAAAAGTCACATTTTGTTACCTACAAGTAGCAGTATTGTCTAACTAATCGACAGACAACATTACAAACGAGAGACCTACGTAATTTATCTCGCCTGTGTGCCATAGTTACACACAATCGAAACTTGATGCATCAGTGACAAAAATGATGTCCGATTCAATATTTTGACATGTACCATACGTTCCCGAATTTTTTCAGGGGAACAATTGACTGGACTTTGCATGTGTCTTTGACGGGTGCCACCGGTGGGGCAGGATACGCTCACCTTTTAACGAAAACCTGGTATCATCACTATTTCATTGTGATGCATTAACACATGCCTTGTCATCGTATTGGATGACAATCACTGGATTGTCTGGTCCAGACTCGATATGTATACACACAACATAGTACACCTGTAATACTGCTGAATCAAATATATGCTCATGATATAGCTACAATTGTACAATCGAAGTGGATACATTACCTTCCAGACTCTCACAACCATGAAGTGCGCCATCATCATCCTTGTTCTCCTGCCTCTGGCATACTGCAACATCCTCGATCGTAAGTGCATTGTTAACTGTTTTAGAAAACTCAGGTCGATACAATCTATCGATACAATCACCAGCTCGCTCGCTCATCCGCTCACTCACAACTCCACCCACTCACTCATTCACTCAACTACCCACCCAATCACGCGCTCACTCACTCACTCAAAATCGGCCCCACTCACTCACCAACTAATTCACTTATTCATCCACTCACTCAGCTAATTCATTCACTCCGCTCACTCATTCACTCCACTCACCCACTCATTCACTCTCTCTCACTCACTCACTCACCCGCCCACTGACTCACCCACTCACTATATATGTTCCTGTTCAGAGTTCACCTATCTGTTTGATGTTGGGGAGTTGAAGGCGATTGTACAGAAACTCTTTGATACGGTTGGATCCGACGGTACCGTCGCAGCCTGTGAAGGAGAGTGCACGGTCCTCATCCATCAGAACGCCCTCTTGTCCAGCGGTTGCGACCTCGTCTGCAGATCGTGAGTAAATGGTTGATGTATTTTAATATGTCCTCTTTGATAAGAACGCTGAACCCTTTCTACAGTTTCTTCTAAAAAGCAGCGTCGATTACACGACTCCGTCTACATTAAGGACATGTGTTCATGAACATCCCATTAACCCGTGAAGGTTAGAACTGGTCTTCAGCAACCCATGCTTGTCGTAAGAGGCGACTAACGGGATCAGGTGGTCAGGTTCGCTGACTTGGTTGACATATGTCATCGTGTCCCTATTGTGTAGATCATGATGTTGATCACTGGATTGTCTGGTAGGGACTCGATTATTTACAGACCGACACCATATAGCTGGAATATTGCTGAGTGCGGCGTTAAACACCAACCAAGCAACAAACCATCAAATAGTGATGGTGCCTGGCACAAACTCACGCAAAGTCAGGTCAATTGTTCATTTCAAAACAAATGGGAACATGTGGTATGTTATAACAGAAAAATGCGAGGGACATCCTTTTTTTTCACTTGGACGTCAAATTTAGAAATGTCCACATTAACGCCTTTTGAATATCTCAGCTGAGCCTTTTAATGTACGTGTAGTAACTTTTGTCAAATATATTGCTCGAATATGAGTGAGTGAGTTTAGTTTTACGCCGCACTCAGCAATATTCAAGCTATATGGCGGCGGTCTGTAAATACTCGAGTCTGGACCAGACAATCCAGTGATCAACAGCATGAGCATAGATCTGCGCAATTGGGAAACGATGACATGCGTCAAACAAGTCAGCGAGCCTGACCACCCGATCCCGTTAGTCGCCTCTTACGACAAGCACGGGTTACTGAAGACCAGTTCTAACCTTCACGGGTTAATGGGATGTTCATGAACACATGTCCTTAATGTAGACGGAGTCGTGTAATCGACACTGCTTTTAGAAGAAACTGTAGAAAGGGTTCAGCGTTCTTATCAAAGAGGACATATTAAAATACATCAACCATTTACTCACGATCTGCAGACGAGGTCGCAACCGCTTCACGGGTCTCGAATATGAAGTGAAACTTGACAATTTGACAGTTGAAGAGATTCCTCTCGACATACAGTTCTGTGAAACCTATTCCTGGCCCACTATTGGCGGCTGTGTCATGATGTGATTCATTGAAATATGTTGTATATGGAACAGATATACTTTTGTTCGAGGATATGTAAATGTTTTCTGAAACTTTCATTCGTCCCGACACAAACACTTGTACATCCCTGATAATGTATTCGGATGGGAGTGACCTTGCATACGGGTGGGAGTGACCTTGTATACGGATGGGAGTGACCTTGTATACGGGTGGCAGTGACCTTGCATACGGGTGGGAGTGACCTTGTATACGGATGGAAGTGACCTTGTATACGGGTGGCAGTGACCTTGTATACGGGTGGGAGTGACCTTGTATACGGGTGGGAGTGACCTTGTATACAGATGGGAGTGACCTTGTATACGGGTGGGAGTGACCTTGTATACGGGTGGGAGTGACCTTGTATACGGATGGGAGTGACCTTGTATACGGGTGGGAGTGACCTTGTATACAGATGGGCGTGACCTTGTATACGTGTGGGAGTGACCTTGTTTACGGATACGGGGGAGTGGCCTTGTATACGGGTGGGGTTGCCTTGTATACGGGTGGGAGTGACCTTGTATACGGGTGGGACGGGTGGGAGTGACCTTGTATACGTGTGTGGGAGTGACCTTGTATACGGATGGGAGTGACCTTGTATACGGGTGGGAGTGACCTTGTATACGGGTGGGAGTGACCTTGTATACGGATGGGAGTGACCTTGTATACGGATGGGAGTGACCTTGTATACGGGTGTGGGAGTGACCTTGCATACGGATGGGGAGTGACCTTGCATACGGGTGGGAGTGACCTTGTATACGGGATGGGAGTGCCCTTGTATACGGGTGGGAGTGACCTTGTATACGGGTGGGAGTGACCTTATATGCGGATCGTAAGTCCTGGAGGACTACACAAAACATGTGTTCGATGTGCATCCATGATGATTTTCTGTCCTCTGCCGTAGTAGGACGGTTGGTGGGGAAGGCGTTCTGTTTTGGCCCATAGAAAATGTGTTTAGATGTATGTATTCTTTTTCGCTTGACCTACAAAAATGTATTCTTGCTTCCAGCCTCCAGTCCCTAGTGAAACGCTTCCACATCGCTTAGAGCATGGTCCTGCTTCAATGTCCTACAAATAAAACTGTGAAAGATTTATGTGTGTCATTACGTTTTGTAATATCATTGTGTCTTACCATAACAACGTTCGCGTCCTCCACAGTATGAACATACATGGCAACAACAGATCCGTAATCTTCACCACCAGACAGGTTCTGGTTTCTAGCTGTGCAGTAACACGTCCTATAGTTTGGCATGAAATGCATGTGGACCCGGTTTTTGTAAATATATCTTCATCCAATGACCCAATCGATCTCAAACAGTGCAAGTGGATGTTTTGTCAGACAACATAATCACATTGTAAATCACCGATTTTATGCATTTGTATTAAAGAATCTGTCTATGTAACTGTCAACAAAATAAACAGCAGAACGCAGACTGCTTGCAGAGGGAGGTAGACCAATGACCTGTAACAGCGGCAGTGTTGGGTCATAAAGGT